ACTTCTAGTCTCAGCTACTTGGGAGGCTGAGGCAAGAGACTTGCTTAAGCCCAAGAGTTTGAGGTTGCTGTGAGCTGTGATGCCAGAACACTCTACCAAGGGTGACCAAGTAAGACTTTGTCTCCAAAAAAAGCAAACTATGTAACCTAATCATGTGGATCCTCATATTAATCTGGGGGAAAAAAGTAGAAGGGCAATCAGAGAGGTTCAAAGCAGGAGGATTTGATGCGTAGTGGCTTGATGATGAAGAAGACCATGTAGTGAAGGAACCAGTGACTTCAGTCTTATAACTACGTGGAAGTGAATTCTGCCAACAACTGGAATGAAACTAAAAGCAGAATCTTCCCCAGAGCATCTAAAAAGCAACACATACCTAAAATGCCTTGATTGATTTTAGCCCAGTGAGACTCTGAGCAAAGAATCCTGTCACACAGTGCCGGACTTCTGACTTAAAGTGTGGGATAAAAAAAATCAGTCAAAAAAATCAATCAATCAATGGGCAGCGCCTGTGGCTCAAAGGAGTAGGGCGCCAGCCTCATATGCTGGAGGTGGCGGGTTCAAATCCAGCCCCGGCCAAAAGAAAAAAACTGTAAAAAAAAAAATCAATCAATCAATTAAATAAAATATGGGATAATAAATCTGTTTTGTTTCAAGCTGCTAATTTTGTAGTAATTTGTTATGGCAGAAATACAAAACTAATACATGGCCTTTCCTTTATAATTAAAATGTAATCTGTGAGGTGATACTTTGAGATCATGCGAATATTTCCTTTCCCAACTCCGAAGATTATCCATTGATTATCTTTGCCTGAATCAGTTATTGCTTTGGTGAGTGCAAAATGGTCATTTTCTTTCTTTTTTTCCTCACCTATGCTTTATTGAAGTATACTTGTCAAATAAAAATTGTATATATTTAAGGTGTACAACGTGATTTTTTTTTTGAAAAAATGTCTCTGTCACCTGGGGTAGAGTGCAGTGGCATCATCATAGCTCAGTGCAAACCCAAACTCCTGGGTTCAAGCGATACTGCCTCAACCTCCCAAGTAGCTGAGACTATAGACTCACATCACAATGCCCAGCTAATTTTTCTATTTGTTTTGGTAAATATGGGGTGTTGCTCTTGCTCCGGCTGGCCTGGGCCTCCCAGAGTGCTAGGATTACCTGGCTGGGGAACAGCCGTGCCCTGCTGTGATGTTTTGATATGTGTATACCTTGGGAAATAGTTGTCACAATGAGGTCAATTAACATATTCATTGCCTCACATAGTTATCATTTTTTTGAGGTGATGAGAACATTTCCTTTGGGCTCCTAGCAAATTTCAAGTAGATACTGTATCATTATCTCTATCAAGTATAATACAGTACTCTTAACAGTAGTCACCATGCTGTACATTAGATCTCTAGAACTTATTCATCCTACATAACTGAAAGTTTGTATCTTTTGACCAACATCTAGGCAAATTTATAGAGGCTGAAAGTAGATGTGTGATTCTCTAGGGCTGGGTGAGGGGGTTGGGAGGAAATGAGGAGTGACTGGGAACGAGTACAGGGTTTCTTTTTTGGGATGATGAAAATGTTCTACAATTGATTGAGGTTGTAGTGATGGATGCACAACTCTGTGACTATATTAAACCTTACTGAATTGTATACTTTAAAAGAGTGAAGTTGGGTTCAGTGGCATATGCCTATAATTCCAGCAATTTGAGAGGCTGACATGGGATGATTGAGGTCAGGAGTTCTAGACCAGTCTGAGCAACACAGCCAGACCTCATCTCTACAGAATAATAAAATAACAATAAATTAGCCAGATGTGGGGGCACGTGCCTCGAGTCCCAGCACTTGGGAGGCTGATGTAGGAGAATTATTTGAGTCTAGAGTTCAAGGCTACAGTGAGCTCCTGGGCCACTGCACTCCAGCCTGGGTTACAAAGCAAGGAGCCTGTCTCTTTAAAAAAAGGTGAATTTGCAGAGTTCTCTTGTTAACGTGAAGATAGGGAAAAGAAGATAAAAAAGGTGAATTTTATGGCATTTGGATTGTATCTCTGTGATGTTGCAATTTATACATTTTTTCTTTGAGACAAAGTCTCATTCTGTCACCCTGGGTAGAGTGCTGTCACTTCATCGTAGTTCACAGCAACATCAAACTCCTGGGCTCAAGAGATCCTCTTGCCTCAGCCTCCCAAGTAGCTGGGATTGCAGGCACCTGCCACAACACCTGGCTAGTTTTTCTATTTTTAGTAGAGATGGGTCTCACTCTGGCTTAGGCTTGTCTGGAATTCCTGAGCTCAAGCAATCTACCTGCCTAAGCCGCCCACAAATTGTAAGATTACAGGTGTGAGCCACTGTGCTCACTAGATGTCGTGATTTATGATTAATCTCATAATTCAAACTATCACCAAATCTAAGCAATCAATCATTATTATACATACTAATATGTTATTCTGAATAAGTGTTAAGTTTTTATTGAATACTTTCCATGTGCCAGGCCAGAAGACTTGACTTCATAATTTCATCTAAGAGTCATAATAGCCCTGTGAAATATGTACATTATATACAGAAAGTGAAGTTCAGAGATGTTAGGCAATTTGCTCAGTGCCACAGTAGCTGAACTGTGAATTTAACTGAAGTTTAATTCCAAACACTGCACTCCTAACCTCTATGTATCATGTGTATTTTTTCCCTAATTACATTATTAAGTCTAGGAGGACAAGGATTTTATTTTGTATTTCCTCTGTAGTCTCCTCATTGCTGTACCTAGCTATTCTACACAGTCAGTGTTCAATAAATACTTAACGAATGCCTAAAGGGAGGTGCGCGAGCTGAAAATACTAATTACTGTACTTTAAAAAGGATTTTGATTTTAGATTCATGGGTTAACATATTCATAATAGATCATTGAAGGAAGCAAGGATATTTGAGTCTTTCCTTAACCTCCAAGATGTCTTGGTGGAAGAGAATCACACTTTCACAATCTTTGCTGCTCCTTTATGAGTAGGAACTGACTGGGCTAGATGGATTATGGATCTGACCCATTGTGACCACTCTTAGAATCTTTGGCTCCTCTTTTGTTTCCCGGTAACTCCTAGCGTAAAAGTGCCGGCCTCCCTCTCATTTTGGCTTCGCTTGCAGCCACACCCCTCTTCTTGTGCATTTAAACTAGTTGTGGTACCTACTAGAGGCAGACAGGGAAACCCAACAGGTCTGCTTTAATCGGTAAGGTGGTAAACAATAATAAGGGTTTGGAGTCAGGCAAGTAGTGTCTTTGAGCCTCATCTTATTCATCAGTAAAATGGAATTAAACAAGCTCTTTCTCCAAATTTCAGTATTGTCAGAATTTCATATTTAAAATAGTTTAATATTTATAGGCAACTGGAGATACACTAGGGATAAAATGGGACCTAGAAATCTATGAGATTGTCTGTATACAGGTGGTTTAAAACCATTTTCCATTCTCCTATTGCCTGCGTTAGAAACACTCACAACTGAGGACGAAAGCTGAGGGGTCGGGGTCAGTTGTGTAGAGAAGATAGCTAAGGAAAAACGAGCAAGAGTGAGGTGGAGACTCCTTATACTGTTTCCTCCACCACTCAACACACACACACCCCTTATTTCCCCCCTGAACACACCCCATATCACCTCCCAGGCCTATCCATCCTTATTCCCGCCCAGAACCATTGATTCTAATAGGGAAAAATGCTGCTTATTGTCCTGCTCTGACGACCAGCGAAGCAAACGGGAAAAGGCTGCCTTTCCCTTTTTCTCGTTCTCCACCACGCCGGGCTTGCTGTTGAGGGTGGGAAACAGTCTCGGGGTCCACGCAAAGCCTTTTGCAAAGCCGAGGAGTGTGTGTGTGCTGGGGGTATTGTGTGTAGGGAGGTGGATTGGGGGTGGAATCCCATGACGTTACCGGCTCCGCCTCCCTGTGTATATAAGGGGCGCTTGGCGCGCAACGACCCCAAGCCGCATCTTTGAAGCCTGAGTAGCTGAACTCAGCAGCCTCAACCCAACTCGGCTTAAGTCAGCTTCTCCGTACCCGTTCCGAGATTCTTCACTCCCTAGGCTTGCAACAGCTCTCTGGTAAGCATTCGGGGCCGACACGTGTGTCGGAGGAGGGACGGCGAGGGTCCGGGCGTACCTAGGATTCTCTGGCAACCATAGCACGCAGTTGCATCTAGGCGGCCGTGACCTGTTGCTGGCGCGACCCCCGCCCCCGGAGGCACAGCGCCCATCTCCACCCCAGCCGCAGACCTTTTCTAGATGGGGGCAGAAACCTCTGGGAGCTGAGTCAGGGGGCATTGGGCGTAACCCCTCCCTCCTGCGGTGAGGCGGGTGCAAATATCTCCAGCTTCCCTGAGGCCCCTCTTGGGACGCATCTTCTAATCTTTAGATGTCGAAGCTCCGCCTCACTGTTGATGCTTGCAGGTCAGCCTAGCAGGGTTGGAGGAAGTGGGGAAATATTTGCTTACTCCCCTGAGCAAAGGCAGCGCCTGTGGAGCTGTGAGGGCATAGTGAGGAGGGGGGGAATTGAATGGTGCTCACTTTTGGTCCGCAGCCAACGTCGATCCCCTCTCCCTCTGGGCTGTGTGGGGGCCATGTCTGTTTGAAGCCCTGGGGGAGAGAACCTGGGTTGACTCCTGTTTAATTCCTGAGAAGCCACCAGCCAGGGAACAGACACATTAGGTTTCAGGATGCCTGGGATGGGACCTAGGATAAACCCTAGGGGTTCCTGGCCACTATACTTTAGGAGGCTTTCACATGCCTTTTTTGAAATTAGTACTTCCAAAAACATTGTGAGGTTTTATAATTTCTACTTGTATATGAAGAAACTGAGGTTAGAGATAAGGTGAGTTGCCTTTGCCCCTTTGATATTCTCCTCTCCACTCCCCCATAGTTTTGCTTGGTAGAGTGGCTCTTGTAATTCACCTTTGGAGCTTAGAGATAATGAGCCCTATTGAAGGGCATTTGTCTTGTTTTTCACCAGATCCTCTGCAATTCCAGCTAGAATGCTGTGGCGAGCACTTCGCAGATTTGGTCAGAAGCTGGTACGCAGACGTACACTGGAGCCAGGCATGGCTGAGACTCGCCTTGCCAGATGCCTCAGCACTCTGGATTTAGTGGCCCTGGGTGTGGGCAGCACATTGGGCGCAGGAGTGTATGTCCTGGCTGGCGAGGTGGCCAAAGATAAAGCAGGACCGTCCATTGTAATCTGCTTTTTGGTGGCTGCCCTGTCTTCTGTGTTGGCTGGGCTGTGCTATGCGGAGTTTGGTGCTCGAGTTCCCCGATCTGGTTCGGCTTATCTCTACAGCTATGTCACTGTGGGTGAACTCTGGGCCTTCACCACTGGCTGGAACCTCATCCTCTCCTATGTTATAGGTGAGATTGGGGGGGTGGTAAAGGAGGAACTGCACCACCAGCGAAGGGGATTTGGGTCAGGAATCTGGGTGGAAGGTGAAGCTGAAGCATTCTTTATTATTCACAGGACCTCAATATCCCTAAATGTGTTTGTCTGTTGGGGGTCTGGGAGGGTTGAAGCCGTGGAGAAATTGTTCATTCTACTCACCTCTGTCCTGGTTTCCTTAATTAAGTGAATGGTTTTGATTTTTAAAAAGTAAGAATAGGGCAGCGCCTGTGGCTCAGTGGGCAGGGCGCCGGC